AGCAGGATGTGATGGTCAGCCTGAAGCTGTTGATATCCTAATTCTTCCATTGCCTCATACATAATTTCTATGTTCTCTTTCCAGAAAATTAGTTGAAAGTTTGATTTTCACAAAAAGCGTGGTTGTGAAGGACATGTAACTGATACTGTTTTTGTGCTCTAGTTGCCTGTGCTTTAATAACTTACAGATAGTCTCCTCTGTGCATGGGTTTTGTATCTTTTCTTTCAAACTCTTGAGGAAAAGGTTATTCTAAAGACAGGTTTGTCTCACTACTCCACTGTACTGGCAGAATGATTATATTCTGCTTGCCATTAGAGGTCTGGGAATTAATGTAAAAAAGTCCAGAGAGTCACTTAGGAGGTGATTTTAAGATAAATAGGCAGGCTTTTTTTCCCCCTAACATGCAGGCAGGTTGGTAATTATTTTTGACTAAACTTGATCTATGAAACAATGTTTTTTTTCCCAATGAAGTGGAATATTTGATGTTCAGAAGGTTTTGATACAGGCAGTACTTCAATATATTTTAAACTAAAATAAATCATGCAGGTGCTTCTTGGTCCTTGAAATCTACACACGTGAAAGTACTTTTTCTCTAGTACGTTGGTAGTAATTTTTACTGCACTAGAAAAGACATCTTCAAAGGTTAAATGTGTTTTTTATTTAAATGATTTTGCACTCCTGTTAGGAGTTCAGTGAGCAAATTATTTGTTTCAGAAGTCATAAATCAAGTTTTGTATCCTAATTGGGATTTATTTAAAGAGAAAATAGATCAGTATTCCATTTCAAATCAAAAAGGATGAGAATTGTAAACCATACAGCAAAAGGAAAATTTTTATTGGATTTTCCATTTTACTGATTGTTTTGTTAGTGACTGAAATACTTCAAAATGTAAATAGAAAAGTATTTTTATGTTTACAAAGACAAGAAGAAATGCAGTTCATCCATTAATTGTTTCCTGACTTTCGTATTCTCATGCAGATCGTCTAGGTTGAAAGATTCTTTCTCTGCTAGTTCCTATCCTTCCTGTGACCATTAGATGTCATGCCTGCTGCTAGAGTAAATGTACCTGTGCATGCTTCCAAAACAAGTTCTTTCTGAAGTATGTGGTTTGGATTAAAAATTTTTCAAATCCTCCTGATCGAATCAGAAGAAAAAACAGACGTTCTGGTAGATCTGCAGCAGCAGTACTCTTCAACAGTGCAGTGTGGCATGTACAGAATCAACCAGTTCCACTAGGCTTTTCGTAGAACTTCAACATAATTAAATTTGTGCATAATGTGCCTTAAAACTGTATGCTAAAGCCACTTCATAAGGGGACAAAAGTATTTACTACATAGCGAAATTCCAGGGAAATACAACTAATAATTCACATATATATTAAATTCTGTGATTTCAGTTTTTAATGTCCTTTAGATTCAGTAAGCATGCTGTATTGCAAAACCAACCATTTCACATATATATACTGAACAAGATCAAACCACACCTGATGTCTTGGATAACTGAAGGATAACTTAAAGGATAACTGCTAAATGCTAACACCTGAGATTCATGAACTGATATTATCACATCAACTTTGTTAAAATAAATAGAGCGTATTCACCAATGCCATGTGATCAAATGCATCAGATGAAACCAATAGATCTAAAAATAATCTGTGCAAACACTGATTTGAAATCTTGCCCACGGGGATGAGAGAACCGAAATCCTAAATTCTTGCATTTTTTTGTTTTTGAAAGGTGTTTTTAGGGCTTTTTACTTGTTCTCCCGTCTCCCCTTATAAATGTTATAAAACCATCATACCACTGTTTTTTCCATCTTTTAAAGAGTTGCATAGACTTGTTGTTCACTGATACTTTTTATTTCCACACTCATCACTTGCTGAGGGTAATAAGCCTTGTTTAAGCCCGTCATTGTGGTTTTGTTTCTTTTTTCCCCCCTCTTCTGTTTTACAAAAATGGAAAAGTGGACACTGAGGAAGTCTCCTCTTACACATCCCCATGAGCAAATATTGACAAGATTTAAAAAAAAAAAAAAAAGTGGGCAAGAGAAAATTTAATTCCTGAGTTTGTTCCAAGCTGTTAATGATTTTAGGACGATGTTTAGGATGATGCCTCTGGGTCAGTTGCATTTGTTTTGCTTGTGAAGGTTATTTCTGCAAGTTAACAAGTCAGGAAATTTAGGACTTTGACTTGCATTCTCCTAGTAAACTGCTGCAGTGTTTTAACAAGTTATCTTTCTAGAAATCTTGAGATGCATTGGATTTGTCAAATGTCTATGAAAGAAGATAACAAAACATTGTTTGGCTTTGATTTTGTTAACAGAAATAAGACACAAATTGTTATTCCTGAGTTGTATGTATCTTCCTCAATTGTCAAAAACAGTTTCAGCTGGTTTTCTGCAAGATTTGGTATGCTGTTTATGTTCTTAGTGGGTCCTCCTCTATTTTCTTCAATTAACTAAAAAGGGTTTGGATCTTCATTTGAATAAGGTTACTTTAAACAATTTACTGAATTCTTCAGTTTCTAGTTGTGACAACGTGGAATTCAGGAAGGGGTGTTTCTACTTTGTTATTACTTTACTTGAAAGTTTCCAGCGTCTTTTGTGTTGTCATTTTTTTCAGTCTTAAAACTTGCCTCTAAAGCTTGCCAGTGAATAGTTCCTGGTAGCAAAGGAGGCTGAAGGAGGTAGGAAATATTTGTGTGATTCTTTTCTCCCTTGCTTGGCCTCACTTAATGTATGTGACTCAGCTGAGTCCCCTGGAGACTGAGCAGACCTGTCCAGCACCGAGCTGGCAAATCTGGCTTGTCAGAGGAAAACACTGCGAATCGGTCCTTGCGTGGACTGGCATCTTTTCATCTTCTTTTTATGATAGCCTCTCTGATTTCCTCGAAGGGTAAGAGTAGTGTCCCTTTAGCCAATGCAAGAAGGTGTTCAGGGCAAGTTAGCTTAAATCTTTTAATTGTTAATTTAAATCTTAACTAACTTTGCCAAAATGGACCGCGTAGAATGCTTTCTGCGGTAGGTCTTTGACTGTTAGTGAGTTGGTAACGAGCCCTCCAAGGCTTCCACTGGCATACACCTGAATCTTGAAGTCTGGCCAAAGATGAGTTTTGTGTAAGCATACATAAGAGAAGGCTTGTGGCACTTCATTTTCTGCCTGTGCTTTTGTCAAGAGAAAACGCTAATTCCTGAACTTCTGTTACTAAGGTTGCGGTAGCCTTCAATTCAAGAGAAATTCTATGCTCAAAACCCTATATTAATGAAGTAGAAGGGAAATAAAATACTCTTGGATAACCTCATTGTCCATTTCTAGAATATTATCTGAGCAGTTCTTTAATGGATAGGACTCGCATCACACATGGAAAGATTAATTAGCTCTAGGTGCCTTCTGCAGAATACTCTCTCTTTGTGGTCTAGTGTCTTGATTCTTCACAGTGTGCCTCTGGGTTTTATTGGCCTGTAATATAGCATACCTTTCCTGGTACTGAAGGCTTTTTCTTGAGTTACGTAGGGAAATTGAAGGTAACAGCTAATTGCTTGTCAGTCCGATGGAACATTGTAACACTAGAATAAGAACAACTGATGGGAAAGGAAAAGACAGATGCTTCTTGGGATTTTCAGGGGACATACGCACACATCCTGGACGCATTAGCGTAGCTGTAGCAGTTTCAGATTTGCTAAATGGGGGAGAAAGTGGAAAAAGAAGAAAACTCTTGGATGATCACCATCGAAATTTAAGCAAGGTGTACAAGCCTCTATGCCCGCGTTGCTTGTCTGGCAAATGGGTACTAGTACGGCCTTACTTCATGGAATGATGAGACTATATAAAGCGTTCATATTGTTGCATATCTAGGTCATATAAGAAGATGTATAAATGGCATATCTATATAGCAGACAATCGTGTAATGAGGTAGGGATTCAAAATGAAAGGTTAAAGTTCCCTTTTTGGTGAGCTAAGAAATAATTAAAGTATAAACTTAGCAATAGCGTTATATTCTGCAGTCATGTTTGTAAGGAGCAGAGCAGCCTTACAATTGCTGCTCTGCCAGTGTCTTGCTCTCGCCACTTCCACTGGATGTTTGCCAGGGAAAATTCAGAAGCCATACTTGTCCTTTTCAGTTAAGCATTTTGTTTCATCTTTTTCTTTCCTCTTGCTGTATAAAGCTGTATTTGTGCATTCTCATTTCCCCTTCCGTCTTAGTTTTTGGGTGTTTGCCTTTATCTTCCTTTTCTGTGGCTTTTGTGCACAAACAATAATAAAGGTGCTGCCATTGCTATTATTTTTAGTAAATAACTTTCTTGGTTTAGAGGAAATATGGTTTAAATAATAATTTTTCTTTATCATGGAAGTACACAGGCATAGAATATTCCATACAGTCAAATGATTGTCAGTGTTCAGCTGTTACTTTTTGATGTGCAGTATGTAGGCAGTCTTCCTGAAATGAGCTGTTTTCTGAGAAAACTTGTCAGACTTAACCATGCTAACCTGTTAAAACTAATGGAAAGTTACTGGTAGCCTAAAGGAGTAAAGGGGTATTGCTTTTTATGAGCAAAGGCCTTTATGAGAGAACTGGTAGTGTTTGTTTGCAATGCACCAAGTTTAATCATCAAAACCAAAAGTCTGTTTTGTAGTAATGGCTGTGACAAATCAGTAGTTGAATTTTGAGTAATATTGCCATTATTAACTTCATAACCACCTTATTTCAGTAGTATTCTGATTGAGTTGCAAATATTACAGTACAATACAATGTGGAAAATAGTAGATAGATGACAATCAAGTTGCCTTACGGTTGTTTGGCTTTCTGAATACCTGAGGCCAATTTTTGCTGCCTTTAATGTATAAGTCATGTGGAGGCAGCCAGTAGAGAGGAACGCCCAACAAACCTTACAAGGGTAGGTCTTGCAAACTACAGTCAACTTTCCGTTCCTTATGGACAATTTGATTTAGGATTACTAGTGAGCCATAGGTCCATAATGCTTTTACAGGTAGTGCAAGTGTAGCAATAGTTTTGCTCCTCTTCCACAAGTGAAGGCCAGGCTGATAAGTCATTGTGTCACCCCGTACGGTGTTCACGGTATTGGGAGTGCTAGGGTGTGTTGAGGAAACGAGCGGTCCTGCCCACAGCTAGCCTGGATGTGGCTGCTGCTGCTGAACGGGACCTAACGAGCCAAGCTGAAAACAAGCAGCCTTCTGCAGAACCCCTTGGAGCATCCTCCTTGTGCTCTCCAGTACTCTGGGAGAGCCTGTTACCTGAGACATTGACGGAGCTCGCTGGGGTCTGGTGGCCCCGCCGAGATGCTTTTGACACTGTGGTCCTCCAGTAGTTTTGTCTAGGCTTGTGGTGTCATGGAGTGTCCCAGATTAAAAAAAATGTGGAAATCCCTTGATCTTTTGAAAGGATTGTATTGTGATTCTTTTGTCCCCTACTGGTGCTCTCACAGGTGAATGCCGTAGAGATGCTAATACAAAATATTTTATGAATGTCACATTCTATGCTTTGAATTTCCCAACTTTGCTATTTCCTGAATATGCAGTCAGAAACACTATACTTAATGGATTCTGGAGCCATACCCTCTGTCACTGCAAATTGTAAATTGTTTGAGACTCAGTAGCAGATTACTGGTTACGGTAATGGTAAATAGAATGAGAATAAACCTTATTGCCAGATTGGACAAACCAGTTTTAAGGAGACTCTTCAAAAGCTTTCCTGAGGAAGTTGTCATGAGAACTTCGGAGGGGATGGAAAAAAGGGAGGGAAGTGAGAAAGGAGTATTTGGGTACTAAACTGCACGCATATGAGTGTCCTCATGTGATTTGTTTATTCACATTCAGGTATTGGCATTTTCTTTGCAAAAAGTAGGCTGATACTAATTTTTGTCATTTAAACAGATATTTTAGAATTAATATTTTTTTTAATACTCTTGCAGAGAGGAAGATTCAGAAAGTGAGAAAGATAAGAAAATCTGGTACTATAGCACAAAAATACAGCTGGCAGAGTTAATTGAATGCCTAGACAAAGATTACTGGGAAGCTGACCTATGCAAAACTCTGGAAGAAATGCGTGAAGAAATTCATCGGCACATGGATGTGACAGAAGACCTTACTAATAAAGCAAGGGGCAACAATAAGTCTTTCCTTTCTGCAGCAAATGGTAAGAATATTTTGTTTAATGGGAATAGCTGTTGCACTTTGAAGCAAATATTAGTTTATATTTATTTTATAGTAGTAAGTTTATAGAAGTTGATGGAGAAGCATCATGCAGGTACCAGCATGGCTGCGTAGTGCTGACTTCTGGTAGGACTACGTATCGTGTAGTCCAGGATGTCCTGAATGATTCAGATTCTTGATATGCTTAGGGTGTGCCAGATTGTGATCATTCCAGGTGTTGGAGTGGAGCTGTATTAACTGTCCAGTGTTTCTTGATGTACTGTCCTTTTTATATATATGTATATAACTCCTCATAAACATTTAACACTCTAATTAGAGTTGAAGTTGCAAAAATATTAGAGCTCTAATATTTGCTCCAATATTATGGAAAGTGCAGAAGAATGTATTTCTCCCCTGCAGTTCCCCACCAACTTGATTTATCTACCTCGGAGCAATAAAAAGCAATATAAATCTGTGAAGGTTTGAACTTTGGTTCTAGGGAAGTCATGAAGATTCAGGTTTAAAAATGGATTTAAGTCGTCACTATATAAATGCATAACTGAGAAATCAATAATTAAACCTTTGGAATTGTTTTCTTCTAAGTGGGGAAAAGTAGTAAGAAGTTGGATGTTATCTTTTGTCTCATTGAAAAGAAGTAGTATTTATGTCATGTTATTCTCAGTGGTTCTGTAGGTGGTGGTTTGTTGTTTATTGATGACAATATACTTTCTATTGTAGATGAAATTTTGGACATTATCAGAGCAAGAAAAGGAGAAATAGTAGAAGATAAAAACACAGCAGACGATGAAGCAGAAAAGGCCAAAAGTGATGCTGATAATGACCAGACAGATGCTGAGAGAGGCAAGGAAGAATCTGGAGACCAGGATAAATCTGAGGAAACACCCACTGAGCAAGATGTGGAAAAAGTGAAAACAGAAGGTAAAGAAACTATGACTATGCTTTAATAACTTCATTTAAGTAAAGTGAATCTTTAGTTAAGATCCTCACATTTCTTTAATGTTAATGTGTTGGGGTTTTTTTTAACAATTCTCTATTTTTTAAGTAATAGATGATATTTGTCAGTTCCTTTGTGGTTGTATATTGTAATTGGTTTTTCTTATTAAGTAGTTTCACAATTTTTCCTGTTTTTCAAGTTAAATACAGCTAGCTTGTAGATACCTGGGCTTGAGGTACAGGTGGCACTTACAGATTGCGATCAATGTGTTTGTAGTAAGCAATATTACATCATTTTTGACATTGTTCTCCTCATCAGAATTAAATAGTTTGTCCTTTGATTCCGAGACAATACTATCTCATAGCAAAAACAAAAAAAAAAAGAGGAAAGCAAAAAGCTCCATCTTTTTCAGCATTATCAAACAAAGCTCCTGAAGTTGCTTTCTATGGATGATGCCAAATGACACCCTAAGACATACTAAAGAATATCCCTAAAGTTTTGTTGTGCATTTTACTATAGAGGCAACAGTCGTTGGGGATAAAAGTAACTCTGTGACATCAAGCACTGATGACAACAACACAAATCCTTCTGCAGGAGAGACTAGTTGCTCTGAAGGCAAGAACGCAATGGGGTGTCAGTCAGAAACCCTTGATAGCAACAACGTGGCAGAGAAGAAGGTGGCATCAGAGCTCCCTCAGGAACTCTCAGGTACAGAGGGCACTGTTACCAATGCCTCTGTAATTTGGGGAATCTGTTAATATTTTTCTATCTGGTTTGTCTGCTAAAACCATTCACAGCGTATATCACTCATGCTGTTTGCTTGCAGTGCCATCCTTTACTGCTACGTTGTCATTAACATTTCAAAGTTAATTTTCTTGCAACTAGTGCTTGAAATTTGTGGCCCATTAGCATTTGTTTCCATGCCTTCCAAAGATGACTATGGCTAAGCTTTTTATGTTCTATTTTCTGTATATTTTATTTTTCCATAGTGATCCATAATGATTGTTAGCATCCTATCAAAGTTTATTTCAAATTCTAATTTGCTGCTGGCTTGTTTATTATTTTAACCTCTCATTGACTGTATAAATTACTAACAAACAAAGTATTTTCATTCACGTGAGTAAACCATTGCACTGAAATGTCAAGATTAAAATTGTCATGCTAGGAATTCTAAACAGACTTCAGAATTATAAGCACAGAGGCTCTTGTTGTATTTTAATATGTTTTGTTCTGCCATGTCAGTGATTCAAAAGTAGTAATTTATACTATTTAATTTTTTAAAAAAACAATCAAACAAACCTCAGATTTAGGAATAAATGGGACTTGATTAGGTGAAACATAAATTATCAGTGTACTATTTTAGAATGATATTCTATTACATTTAGAATTAGATTCTATTACAAGCTTTACTACATAACCAAATGGTATTCTAAACATCTGATTACTGTTAAAATGATCTTTTCCGTTCTTAAAAATCTAAAAGTAATCTGATCTGTGATGTAGCCATACTCAGTGTTATGTTTTAAAAAGTGTGGTAGTAAATGTTTTCTCTCCTACAGAAATAGTTCTCTATTTGGATACAGATTGCAGTTTTTGAACTTGCAGATGTGAATGCATCCAAACCTTGTAATAAACTTTGTTAATAGGAGGAGAAAACAAAAGTTAAGATTAATCCGTAATCTCGAAGCCTCACAATACACTTTTTTAATACAGAAGATGTCCTAGTTCATGGGACAAAAAGCATACATTTTAGATATTTGACCAATGTTTTTGCCTGTTCTCATATTTTTTATTCCATTTTAAATTTAAAATAACTGTATAGAGGTTTAATGGAAAAGAGACATATACTATAACTTTGTTCCAGACACATTTATGCGTTCGTATTTTATTTTAAAGATTCACCTCTATATTTATCATTGTTTCTTTATTATAGTTTCACAGGTACTTTTCTCCTTCCAAAGTAGTGGGCTTTTTTTGTAGGAAAGTGTGCGTGTGTGGAGAGTGTTCTTCTTCAAGTCTAATTTACTGTATTCATAGTGATACTTGGGTTCCCATTATGAAATTTCAGTTTGAGACACTCATTTCAGAGGGAGGGAGAGATCCTGAACCAGTATCAGTGAGGCAGCTACCTACAAAGAGGGGGAAAATGACAGTAAAATGCAAAGCTAGACTCAAACCTGTCTGTCACCATCCTTGTTAAGTGCAATTTGGATATGAGTCTGTAATGAAAGAGTCTAGTTTGGGTGCTTCCACTGTCCTCCAAACGGCAGGCACCACACATGGTTCCATTTTTCCTCTTAGTAAAAAGGCAAATGGATCGAACAGTGGTGGTCACCCACTTGGCAAAGTCAGAACTCAAGATGCATTCAGGTTAGGGATCTTCTAAGAATCCCAGAATATCTACCTAATCGTCTTTCTGCTAGGAGTGAATATTTCACAAAAAGGAGGTTTTGTTCTATCACCTTTCTTAATAACAACAGAATCCCTGATGTTTGGAAGAATTCTAGAAACAGAAAAATCTTGGGTTTTTTGAACAGCTAAGCAGTGTCTCTTTTGCACAAAATCAAGAAGACGACATTTTGAGGGGTGGTGGCTTGTTGTTACTGGGAAGCTGCAGTGATTTATTTCTAGGTAGCTGCAGTTCACCGGTGCTGTAGTTGAAAGATCGTACTCATGCAGTATGCTTCAGCAACAAGTGAGGTGGCAAAAATGCCCACAGCTGTCAATACAGACAGTAACAAGGACAGCTGAGGACCAGGAACCCATTTGTCTTACTGAGCTTGAAGCAACATCTTGACCCATCAGATTGTAAGAAAGAGACTGATATTTTAAGTTTGCAGAGGAGACATTTCGATACAGAGTGGTGCCAGTGGAACTGAAATCTGTGGGATTCCTTAGAATTAATGTGCTGAAGAAGAGACAAAGACTTGGTGGAAAACTGGAGGGGAACTGGAAGGTGTAAGCTTTGAGGAACAGCTAAAGCACAAGAAAATCAAGAGAGATAAAAATAGAAGCTGCAGGAAGACCAAATTTGTTGAAATTTGCATTCTAAAAACAAAGCCTCAGTAGAGGGTTCTCTGTGTGTGCATCTATAGGAAAAAAAAAAATTGTCTTGTATTTAAAATATATTTCATCTAAGTATGAATTTCAGTTCTTAAGAGCTGTGAAAGTTGAAACTGCTTGAAAGAGAACAAAAAATACTTTCATGGATGCAGTGCTCTGGGGGGAATTAATATTTGATGGGTATTTCTCTCCAGTCCAGCAAAAGATGTTCATCTGACTTTAGTTCTAAATTTTGCATTTAAAAAAAGAAAAAAATTAACATTCATCCAATTTAAAAGAAAAACTAAAAGTGAAGTTGTTCTTTTGTAGAAGAAACTGGTCAGATGATCCCTAGCAACAGTAGCAGTGCATCTGCTGCACCCCTACACTCAGATGTTGAAAACAGCAACGGTAGTGAGTTGGGCTCTGGGCAGAGTGACTCCATCAAGACGCCTGATGATGCTGAGAATGCAGAGAGGGGATCCCAGACTTCAGAGGACATAGGTAATAATAGTGTCTCTAACTTTCATTTTATGCATCTTTTCTTTTTACTTTATAACTCCCATACCTCAATAGAAAACTTCCAGTTCTTTAAGTTTGTTTTAAAAGCTTTTTTTTCCTGGGCAGGAGAGAAATCTAATGGTGAAAGAAGTGATTCTCCAGGCGCAGGAAAAGGCACGCCAGGTTCGACGCGAATGCTCACAAGATTACGAAATCCAGATAGCAAGTTGAGCCAGATGAAAAGCCAGCAGGTTGCTGCTGCAGCACATGAAGCAAATAAGTTATATAAAGAAGGCAGAGAGGTTTGTGCACATCTTGGAAAATTCAAAGTAGTACAAAAACTGTTTTAGAAGACTGGTAATATTTTTAAGAATAAGTGATTTTGGCAGACTGGAGGTACTTAAAAGAAAAAAGTAATACATTAACAAATGGTGAAATTGTAATATCACAGGAAGCTTTTTTCCCCCTCCCTCTCCTTCGCTTTTGCTCTCTTAGTTGCTATCTACAGAGTAGTACGACAGTGACCCAGTGCACCTCCTTTCCTTTAACGTGCCAGTCATAAAAGTTAGAGACTTGTTTACTATATAGCCAGTAAAAGTTTTATGTGTATTCTCCTACTTCTGTCTTCAAATCTCTCAGAACTGCTGTGCCAAAACCACAACTTTACAGTAGTTTGTGTTTGATTATTGTTTGAATAACTAGGTAATAGCCACATTCCCAGTTCATAACAAAAATGTACTGGCAGAGTTTGGTCATTTGAAGACAATCATTGCAGAATTGTGGCACTGCTTGATGCAGACCAAAGTGAAATCTCTCAAATGTCTGCCAGTTGGTATAAACTTTTTGTATGGCTGTAGATTGTTTGCTGGGTTTTTGGTGGTTTGTTTGGGGTTGTTTTTTTTAAGTAGCCCAGTTTCTCCAGGAAAGAACTGTTTGAATGTTAAGACTTCGTTTCAGTTAGTTGTCTGCAATATTATTTGGTATATTAATGTTATTTTTGTTAACTGGTTTTCCTTGTAAGTTAGCATTTAGCATATTTATTCACCATTCTCTGAAATTTGGAACTCAGTTATGAGTAATTAGACCAGTGATGTTATCTGTGCCATGTTTTCAAAGTTGAGGATATTTGTTTGCGTAGCTGCATGTATGAGTTCTGTGATTTACCAAGGAGGGGTTTCACAGAAAGCTTACTTAAGTTTAGTGAAGCTATTTTCCCAAAGCTGTCTCCCTCAATAGGCATCATTCAGAGCAGCAAATGGGTTCCTGTTTGACTCCTCAGGGGCCTGGGTGGCAGGTTTTTTAATGTTAAAGTTGATCTTAGGGAATATCCCAACTCTATATACAATCAGTGATGAAGTACATATGTTTAGTGTATCAGATAACCAGTTATTTGCTTCTACAAACTGATGCAAGGTATTTTTATTATTTTATATATAGACAGTTGAAGCCTAAATCATAAATAAGTAAATAAAAATATTTGAAACTTAAGTGAGTCTTTAAAATGATTCTTTCTTTCACAAGGTTCTGGTGGTCAACTCTCAAGGTGAAGTCTCCCGAATGAACACAAAGAAGGAAGTTGTGATGAAAGGAAATATCAACAATTATTTCAAATTAGGGCAAGAGGGGAAGTATCGTGTTTATCACAATCAGTATGCCACTAATTCATTCGCATTGAACAAGCATCAGCACAGGGAGGACCACGACAAGAGACGACATCTCTCGCATAAATTCTGTCTGACTCCTGCTGGAGAGTTCAAATGGAATGGGTCTGTACATGGGTCCAAAGTTCTTACCATATCCACTTTGAGGCTAACTATTATTCAGCTAGAAAACAATATCCCGGCATCATTCCTTCACCCTAACTGGGCTTCCCACAGGTAAATTAATAAATGAAAATATATATTCTCTTGTTTTACGTGTATTTTTGCTAACAGTGTTAATAAGCAATGGTCTTTGTTTTTTCAAATCGGCGATTTCCAAGCACCGTACTTCGGTATATTAAAATACAAGATAACGTACTTGTGTTTTGTTATGGATAGCTAAAAGGATTGCACATTTGAGTAAAGCATTAAAATCTAGGAGGTTTTATCCTACCATTAAATCTTATTAACACAGCATGCTATGTTAGTGCATGTTGTATGTTTCAGGTTTTTATCTTTTTTCCAATTTAGGTCTAACTGGATTAAGGCTGTTCAGATGTGCAGCAAACCTAGAGAATTTGCACTAGCGCTGGCTATATTGGAATGTGCAATTAAACCGGTTGTGATGCTGCCAATCTGGCGGGAATCGTTGGGGCATACTAGGTAAAATAAATAAACATAAAAATCTTTTTGAATATGAGAACTTCAGTTTGTTTTACAATGACTAGTTCCTCTAAGCCTGTAAGAATTATGTTTAAATTTAGTCAGACATTCAGCACTTGAAGTATTTTTCTCAACCAGAAACTCTGAAAATACATGACAAGATTTTTATAGTGTCATTGCTCCTGCAAGGCAAGTTTTGTTTTCTTTATGTGAGCCACCGCCTCAAAGTGATAAAATTTTTGGAGACTGGAAGAGCAAATTCCAACACACTCAGTTCAGTGGAGTCTGTATTTTGTCTCTTACTGTGTCACAGAAGCAGAAACGAAATGTGTCCGATGTTGGACACAGTTGCAGGCATCTGTGTTTGCCTTACTGGAATACCCAAAAAAAGCAGTGCTCCTATTGCAAATACTACATACAACCTGATACTGAGCTCTTAACTTCAGATATCTAAAATTATTCAGAGGTGTGCTATATGCTGTTGTTTGACTTCTTATATGTGCTTACAAGATCCTGTACTTAAATGTACTAAAATCTATATGTATTAGATTACGCAGAATGACAGCAATAGAAAGAGAAGAGAAGGAGAAAGTGAAAAAAAAAGAGAGAAAACAAGAAGAAGAAGAAACAATGCAGCAAGCTACCTGGGTGAAATACACATTTCCTGTCAAACATCAGGTAAGGTTTTCTTTTGTGTGAAGAACAAAAAGAATACAGACATTGTTGATTTCTTACTCTTTTCCTGTTTTCATTTTAAACTTAAAATTTTAATGTCACTGCGTTACTCCCCGCCATTGGAGTAAGAACCACGCCCACTTAGTCAAGCACATAATCTTGGTCTGAACTAAATTTGACATGTTGTTATGCTCTTAGTGACACTGCCTGAGTTGACAGATGTTTGTCTGGAAAATGCAGCCTTTCCTAATGGAAAGGTTCTACATGATTATTGGAATCTTGTCTCTGTGTTTGTCCCTGTCCAGTGTTTCCCTCCCATCACCACTTCCCCCCAAAAAACACTAGCCTAGCTACTTTACTTTGGAAGGTTGTATTATGTGATGGGAACTACTATAGAAACCTCTTTATATTCTCCTTCAGTAGATATTAAATGCTTCTGTTGGAGTGGTTCTTTGCTCTAAATTTATTCGTTGTAACAAACGTACAGGTTGATTCAAAAGCTTGTATAATCTTTCAGCTTTTAGGTAAATAGCTTCTCACTGTTACATGAAATTAAAATGGTTTTTAGATGTTACTATGATAGAATCAATTTAATTATCAGTAGATATGTCTTTCATTTTAGATAGTACATTATTTTACAAATATACTTCAGCTTGCTTGAAGAAGTCTGTAAATTGAAGTTTTTGTTTCGTTTTTTTTTAAAAAATCATCTTAGGTTTTGAAATGGGTATATACACTAATAGTGTGGCAGATAGCACCATTAAAACTACTATTTTAAAAATATTTAACAGGTTTGGAAGCAAAAAGGAGAGGAATATAGAGTAACGGGATATGGTGGCTGGAGCTGGATTAGTAAAACACATGTCCACAGGTTTATGCCCAAACTGCCTGGAAATACTAATGCAAATTACAGAAAGTTGCTACCGAGTAAGTGTCTGCATTGCTTACGGTTTTTTTAATTACTAGCTTACTGCTTTTTATTGCTTATTCAGTTAATTATTTGCATGTGATATTTCTTATGTAGACTTTGTTACAAATAGTGTTCCAGAGAAGCTTTTGCGGATTTCTGCTAATCTTTGTCAATATAACCAGTTCAGTCGTCGTAGACGGTTTTTAGCTATATTAAATTGTTTCTATTATGAAGTTGTTTGTAATATTTGTACGGCTTTGTATAGCCTTATTTAAAATAAAGGTAGATAAAAATTACGTAGCTAATCACAGGCAAAAAGTAACATCTAAAATATTGGTGTATATGTACACCTTTTTTCCTCCCTCCATGTTGACAGAAAACTATTAACCAATATTCTCTGGAAACAATAGTTTTATAAGGGGAAAGAAATTTATCTCTCTAGAAAGTTCAAAACACATCTTCTTGCTTATTTGTTACAAGGATTTATGTTAAAAAAGAAACATTTTGCACAGTTGACTCGTAGAATGCATCCCAAACTGTATGAGTCTTATTTTATAATAAAATTAATCTTGAGTTTCCTTTTAAAATTTAGAAAATGGCAGCTCACCCTATAATAAGTATCAAAATTATTTCTTTCCTCACGTATTGACATAATACTTTCCCTGTTGCTTTTAACTGGATCAAACACAAAATGGATGCTGCTGCTTTTAGTGTTGTCTATGATTGTTAAATTAGATTTATTTTGCTTTCTGTATGGCAATGAATAGCCAGTGCAGTGTTAAGCACAAAGTCATTTGAATAGTAATGTCCACTCTGGCTTAACTGTAGAAATCAAAATTATTAACAATTATTTGTGAATTTTCAGAGTCTGAATTAATATGTTCTTAATAGGTTGGGTTTTCAGAAAGTGGTATTTAGTTTCCTGAAAAATGGGGGGTGAGGTGGGGGTCATGTTTTTTTGGTGTTTTGGGGGGTTTGTTTGGTTTTTTTAAGAAAAGCTGAACATGGACTCCTGAAAAAATAATGTAAATGAAACATTTTTATCTCTGGGAGGCTTTTAGAGGTTTGGTTGTTTTGTTTTGTTTTTTTTAATTCAATATTGCACTAAGCTTAATCTATGATGTTACCATTGTATACTTAATTCTATTTCTGAATTTCAGTAATGTGTGAATTATTTGAGAGGTAAAGTAACGTACATTAAAACGTAACAGTATAAAAAAAATTCTGAATAACTGAAACCATGTAATTAATTTGTTAATAGCAAAGAGCGAAGATGAAAAATGCAACTTGGATAAACGAAAAGGTCCAGTTAAGGTAAAAACAGAGAAAGACAGAGCAAAGGATTCTCATGATCTGCAAGCAAAAGACAAAGCAGATGTTTCAGAAAACATGGATAATGTACAAGTGAAAGAAGAAAAGTCACGTGAAGAAAAAGTAGAAGTCGATACAATTTCTGAAAATTTAGATCACGCAAAAGACAAAGGTGATATACTGAGTTATTGTAAAGCTAGCTATTCATTACAACATTGCATGTGTAAAAGCATAGGACCTCAGAAATAACTATTGAAAAACTGTGTGACAGGTTTTGTCAAGACATTTAAAATGTCTCAGTTAAATGATTGCTTATTATCCCTTGTAGTAGTGTCTGAAGTTTTTGTTCCCTCTTTCTTGAAATCTATTCATATGCTAAAAGGTCCATTTGTTTCTTGGTACTTCATGTAAAAATATAGTTTGGTATTCATTGTTAGGGGAGCTTACTGATTCAGAGTTATTTCTTCTTCACAGTGGAAAAAGAAATCGATGGTGAAAATAAAGTCATCAAGGAAGAACCTATGGATGTAGATGATGTGAAAATTGAATCCCCCATAAAAGACGAGGATAGTCATTGTAAGCTGGATATAATCAATGTCAGCGAGGGATTTCATTTAAGGACTTGCTACAAAAGGAAAGTAAAATCATCAAAATTAGATGGACTACTTGAGAGGCGAATAAAACAGTTTACACTGGAAGAAAAACAACGTCTAGAAAGGATGAAACTGGAGGCTAGCGCTAAAACAGTAGGCATTCGATCTGTAAGCCCCCAGAAAAACATAAACGAGCTACAGATGAGAAAAGTAAACGAAGGAAGCCAGTTCGACATGTCTTCCCAAGAGCAAAACTATATTCCAAATAAGACCCAAACTGAAGATGCAGAACAGGACTGCTTGCCGATCAGCAGCAGCTCTTGTACCAAAACTGGTGAGCTAGATGAACCCTCTTTGCCTTTGACAAACAGGCTATCAAAAAGAGAAGGCCAGCTACTGGATGAAGACTCACCTCAGTCCTCTGAAGGTGAAAGCTCCATTCAGAATGATAGTAAAGAAAACAACCCTGAACCTATGACTGCTGATAAGTGTCAAGGACAAGAGGGTCTTGGAGAGTCTGAGAGTTCCTTTGTGGATGGCTTGAAACAAACAAATGCAGAAGGTAGAAGCAAATGGGATGCTTCAGAAACAAGCAAAAAACCTTTGAAACAAAAACTACCTGTTACCAGTGTGTCTCAGTGTGAACATGAAAACTTAGAGCCAGCGGTAACTGAAAGCAGCTGTAGAAAAGATGCTCTGGCCACTCTTGAAAAAACAGATTCGGAAGGCAATTCTGAACAGCAGAGCAAAGATCCAGAAAACAATTGTATGATGAAAAGCCATATTGAACCAACATCCTCTCAAGAAAGTGAAATGGAGGAAGAAATTGCTCCAGGGAAGACTGAAAGTAAATCTGAAAACAAGGTTATATTTCACCAAAAATCAGTTAGTAAAGACCTAGAACCATTTAAAACAGAGCTAATTTCAGAAAGAAACCTTGAAAGTCAAACTCTGGAACACATGGATGAGGTAGAAGTTGATGAGGATTTACTGAGCTCTAAACTAACGGAGGCTAACGGTCAAAAGAAAGGTCAGGAACTGAAAGTGGAGACAAGTACCATAAACAAATATCTTGATCAGACAAATCTAAATAGTGTTGCTGACAAAAAGAATAATAAAGACGAAGAAACTGAGACAGACTTAGAAAAATCAGCATTTCAAATGAATGGAAAAGACAATGACATTAAAGTATTATCAAATGATGACTGCTTAGTTAAAGGTGCCTGTGAAACGAAGGCAGGTGGTGATATTGAACCAAAAGTTAATAATATTAATAAAGCCATTCCAGAACATGAAATAAAACCTTTAAAGGAGCCTTCAGTAAAACCATTCATGAATGGTGACATCATGATAGAGGACACAAAGGACAAAAATAATGTGGACCCTAACTCATGTCTGCAGAGTTCACCTGAGTTTGAATCTGGAGAGAGTCTTCAGCCACCAGATGAAATTCCCAAATATGTGCAGAAAACTGAAGAAAAACAGCTTTCTCCTGAGAGATCTGCCTTTGTTGGTACTGCTTCCACACCAACACATACTGTCTGTAAAGAAAATAACCTCAGTAGTGAAGCAGAATCTATGGAAACTGAAGTAATTGAGGATAAGAAAGTTGCTCCATCACCTGTAACCTCCTGTGAAGAATCTAGCTTGAGTAGTGACTTTGCTGATCAGAACGGTGTACAGGCATATAAAATGGAAAGTATTAATGGAGAAAGTAAAACAAAAACTGTTATTACTGAAGTGACTACCACAACATCAACTGTGTCTACAGAATCCAAAACTGTGTTTAAAGTTGCAGAGACTGTAGCTTCTAATGATGCAAAAACAACAGTAGTATCGTCTACAGAAAATTGTGCCATATCCACTGTAACTACCACCACTACTGTAACTAAGCTTACCACTCCAGCTACAGACAGTAACGTTGATGTCATTTCTGTGCAAGAGCATAGTAAAACAGTGGTTACAACAACGGTAACCGATTCACTGACCACCCCAGAAGGCACGTTGGTGACTTCCATGACTGTCAGCAAAGAATATTCTACAAAAGACAAAGTGAAGTTAATGAAATTTGCAAGACCCAAAAAAACTCGTTCTGGAACTGCCTTACCATCTTATAGAAAATTTGTTACCAAAAGCAGTAAAAAAAGCATATTTGTTTTACCCAATGATGACTTAAAAAAGCTGGCCAGAAAAGGAGGGATCAGAGAAGTTCCCTATTTCAATTACAATGCAAAGCCTGCCTTGGATATCTGGCCATATCCATCCCCAAGGCCAACTTTTGGGATCACTTGGAGGTACATACTTTACATTTTTGAGGGAAAGTTTAGGATGTGATTAAATTAATTGAATTTTAAAATACAAGTGATAGACATGTTTGTGCCCAAACATGCAAATTTTGCCATCTATTATTCAATAATTTTCTATATTGTTGAATAAAGGTAGAATGGAAACCCTTTGTCCCATTGGTTTGGTTAATATTTTAAATACATTTTTATTTTAAAATATAATTAATACTCTATTATTAGGTACCGACTTCAAACAGTAAAATCATTGGCTGGAGTGAGCCTTATGTTGCGGTTATTGTGGGCATGTCTCAAATGGGATGATATGGCAGGGAAAAATCCCCCCCGGGGGGGGACAACGCGG